AGTGCGGCACCATGCGCTGCCACGACTTCCTGGGCCGCAGCAGCAGCGACACCAGCACCCCGGAGGAGCTGAAGACGTGCGAGGGCGGCGCCGGCCTGAGGGTGGAGGTGCGGCTGCGTGGGAGGGAAGCAGAAACCACCAGCGAGGAGGAGGCGGCGGCGAGGCAGCGGCCTCGTTCCTGGCTGCACAGGGACGAGGTTCCCGTGGAGGAGGAGCAGCACTCGGAGGTGGAGGTGACCGTGAGGAGCGTGCCCGACCCGCAGCTCTTCTCCTCTGAGGAGGAGGACGACGACGACGATGAAGACGAAGACGACGAGGGCACGGAAGACGAGCGCTCCGAGGTCGAGGTGATTCCGGGCCCGCTGCCGCCAACTGAGCCCTCGCCGGTCTTCCAGGGGATCGTCAACCTGGCGTTCGACGACGGCGTGGAGCAGGAGAACGACTACCAGTCCGCCTCCAACTTCCGCCGCTCGGTGCTGCTCTCCGTCGACGAGTGCGAGGAGCTGGCCTCGGAGGAGGCCGCCGTCCAGACGCCGCCCCGACAGCCCGACGGCGCCGCAACTCCCTGTGACGTTTTTGAGTCCGACCCCGCCCACTGCGGCGACCAACCGCACCACCGGCCGGGCCGCCTCCGAGGCGCAGACACGGAGCCCAAGGAACCGGGAGAAAAATCCTCCGTGTTCCTCACGGAGACCTGGGAGCCTGCGCAGGGTCGGGGGGGGGCGGAGGAGGAAGCCGGTGGACCAAAGTCCGGCGAGCCCCTCCCGGATGCCAAGGCCAGGGACCTCCCTCCCCAGGAGCGCCCGTGCCACCTGGACCTGCGGCACACCGAACAATACGACGGGGGGCCGCGCAGAAACCCCTCCAATACGTCAGAAAGCAGGAAAGGCGATTTCCATCTAGACTTAAATGAGCCTCAGCTGACAGGAGACCCTCCTGTACATGCTGCCCAATCTCCAGCAGGTAATGTATGATCTATGGACCCTTCCTAGGCCCCCCCCCCCCCCATATCTTACCCCTAATCTCCATCAGTAAAGGTTTAGTTTATCCCTGCAAGATCCATGCTCCTCCGCTCTGATCCCCAGACCCCCCCTACATCCAACGTATGCCCATCCCTCTTTGAGGAAAACAAAGGATACGGCGCAGAAAGCAGTTCACAAATACAAGTTCAAATACCAGCCATCATATTTTCACAGCTTCCTCTCATTTCAACCCATCGGTAAATTTGAATTTGCAACATCGATATCCTTTTATAGATGGAGATTGGTTTCATCGTAGCAAAGCAGCTAAAGCGCCCCAGCTCCCGTTAGACGGGGGCAACTCACTGTCCATTTCATTAGGACCGATCATAGAATTGTATTTGTCAAAAACAATCTGCCTTGCGACGAGGCTTGTGACTTAGTCATACCGATGCACTTTTCATGTACATAAAAATAAGATCTGTCATTATTTCGTTTATGCAGTGCAACAGTATCTGGCCTTTTATTATTTCTTTTTCTTTTTCTTCAAGCCATACATAATTCGACATAGTCGACGGTGCTTTAAATTTAACTGAAACATCGACGTATCATTGCCAAACCCGATGTGGTCTGTTGGTATAATCCCCATCACGCTGACCGCCGCTGTGTCGCAGCGACGTCGGAGAAGCTTGTGTTTCTCAAAACCCCGACAACACGAACTCCCTGAGGAGCGCGTTGCTGTTCGTTCCGCCTCCTCGTCGAAGGTGACCGCGTGTGTGTCTTTCCATGTGTTCCAGCCGTTTTGAGAAACACAAGCCCGGCTCCTCGGTGACGGCCTTTGGGTTCGCGGTCATGACACCAAGAAGAGGAATATGCAAACGGCGTGATGATATCTGCTTTAATCTGCTATTTGCAGCACCTCTTCAAAATGTGTGTTCAGGTAAACGACGCGCAACCAAAGCTGTCCCTGAAATTCTTTTTGAGTGAACACCCGACTTTGAGGTCAAATCCAAAGAGGCGGTTGTAAATAAACAAAACCACTGCCACTGCTTCTCAGGAAAGGTTTTCCTTGCATCTCCTTGCTGTTCGTGTTTTGTTTATTTCTTTGCGAGAATGTACCTGTTCCTGAGATTTCATTTTGTTTGTACATTTTATTTTGCGCTGCTCTGCAAACATTGCATGCAATTACATTATTTTGACATTTCCCTCAACCGTCAGTCATTTTTGTGTGTTTTATTTTTTTATCCATTGCCCATTACCTTTTTGTCACTCCCAGTAGACGCATATGTGTTACTTTTGAAGAATACTGTGTTTGGTTGTCTCTTAGCTTCTGTTCAGTAGGTTTGTCTAGTGTCAGTAGTCTCCTCTGTAAAGTATGTGATGTGTTTCTAGAGCGGCTGCCATGTTTCTCTTTCTTCACTAGCGCGTTCAGAATAAGAAATCGTGCTGCAGCGCCACTGAGGCTCCATGCCGTTTTGTTTTCAATACCAAACAGCAGACATGTCGTCATTTTGCCTTTTTGCAAAATAAGAATAGAAAACACAGAATGTCAGGAGGAGCTTGGTGGTGTGTCATCTTCTGTGAAGCGATGCTTGCATATTGTGTCAGTATTTAAGCCCGTTCAAAGACCTGCACGTATAATCTGCCATAAAAAAAGCACAACACTGTTGCTGACGCCCACACGCAGTGTCAGCTTCCCTGCTGCTGTCCCTGCATGCACGGCTCACTCTGCTCCAACGGGTGGACAAAGAGATGCATCAAGGCCAGCGATCCTCCCTGCGTTACCTTTAAAGCAGCTGTGTTCCGTTGACCTCCATACTTGGAGTTGGAGAATGTCAAACGGATGGATTTAAAGCTCTGTGCTGGTTTATCCATTTAACTAACACCTCTCCTCTACTGTCCTCCCCTAACTTCCCTGCGGATGGTCTTTCGAGGGACACAGTTGCATTAAGAGTAAACGTGCAGTCCTGAGTGTTTTACTGTAGACGGCAGTCGACTAGCTGAAATGTGTAAAAAGAACTGTGGTGGAGTCGAGCAGTTTGTCATTTTGCAGTATTGTCAATTGTTTTTAGGGGACAATGGTTGTGACAGAATGGATCAAACCTGCAAACATGAGCGCCGGCCGTCCAAAGCCCTCTCTCCCATTTACGAGACGGACGTGGGGGAGGCGTTTGAGCGCTGCTCGGACAGGGACAGGAATGTTAGCGCGAAGGCCGAGGAGGACAAGGACGAGGGCAAAGCCAATGAGTTTGCCGAGGGGGACTGGAGCCTGCTCAGGCAGCTCCTCTCGGACCACGAGTCCACCCTGGGCGTCATTAACCCCGTGCCCGAGGAGCTCAACCTGGCCCAGTACCTCATCAAGCAGACGCTGTCCCTGTCGCGGGACTGCCTGGACTCGCAGGGCTTCCTGTCCCCGGAGAAGGAGACGTTCAAGCGCTGGGCCGAGCTCATCTCGCCCATGGAGGACTCGTCCACCAGCATCACGGTGACCAGCTTCTCCCCAGAGGACGCGGCGTCTCCACAGGGGGAGTGGACCATCGTGGAGCTGGAGACGCACCACTGAGCGGCTGCCGGACAGTTCGCACCTCCCCCGTGACCTCTGAGCGCCTTTTACGTCAACGTTGTCTTAATTCATCATCATTGGTTATCACGCCTTTTTTCTGGACTCTGCAGAACACAGCTTTGCAGCTTACATTTCCCATGATGCCCTCCCTGTAGTTTCTTTTTTTTTTTTTTTTTTACAAATGGGCTGTTATGCATGCTGATATTTTTTGTTTGTCTGTTTAATTGAATATACGAAAGAAACAACACCTCTTTCTCTTGGCAGTCTTCTGATAATATGGTTGACTGAATTTCTTAAAGAAAAAATAGTATTGGCCTACTGGCTTGCATTTAGTGTCATTGAAAATAAAGATCTGTGTTTATTGAAAAAAAAGAAAGTGTCACTTACTGTCTCGAATGTGAAACAATCAATCAAACTTTCAGACTCGGGGTCCAGATGAGAAAAGACAAACAGAAAAAAAAAGCTTTAAAACAGCTTTAAAGAAATAAAATGACTATATACAGCTGGGACTGGTAGCGTGTAGAAGCGAACCAACATTATTTCATCTCAATTTATACTTAAGATTCCTTAGGAGGGTTTGGAAAGAGTCCTGCAGCCACACACATTTACTGGGACTTCTCCCTCTGGGTCTTTAATAATATTCTCATGGCGTCATTGGAAGCTTCTTAAGGTCTCTGTAAGCTTGTTTTTCTTGAGGTTCGATTGATGTACAAAATGCTCTAAACAGAGAAATCTTACACTTGCTTCACAGTGAAGTAGCGTGTGAGAGTTAGCGTGTGCATACATCCTATAACATGCCCAGATATATCATCATCTGTCATCTGTTCTCCTAAGAAATGAACACAATATATTACTTCAGCAGATACACCAAGAAGTCAAGGACTGGTTTGCCTTTGTCCTCTTTGCTTCTACAGATCAAGATAACACTTTTTAACGTTTCTCACCGTAATACACACGTACCACGCCGCTCCTGAAGAGCAACATGGACCGAAAACCACGAGATCATCTGCAGATGTAATATGGAGCATTACCATTCCTGCAATCAGTATTACAGGTTTTCATTTGTTTGGACATAAAGAGATTAAAGAGAAGAGTTGGACACCACCGCTGACACCAAGTGAGACACTTTGTGCCCCATTTTACCTTGAAAATTCACTCATTTATGTCCAGTTTGTGTATTTCACGGATGTAATGAATAACTCATTGGCTCATTTGTTTGGCTTGCTGAGACATTAGAGTTAAAATGTCGAAGGTTCAGCACAACTAGTAAATAAACGTTTTGTCCCTCAAAAATAAAATACTAACGGACAAATAAAAAGGGATATTTGTTGTAGGCGTGTTGTGGACACTGTCACGGGGGGGGGGGAGGTGTTTTCAGGGATCCCGCGGCGCCTTCTCGTGGCGCCAGGCGGCCACGCCCCGAGCGAGGGCGGCTGTCTCGTGGAAATGTCCCGGGAGGCAATTAGGAGCCCCCCCCCCCCCCCCCCCCCAAAAAACAAACACGTTTTGTAACGTTAGTGGTGTTTATTCCACGTGCCTGCGTCATGTCTCCGTCCGAAGCAAAGACTCCCGAGTGGAAAACAACCATCATTGTCAGCTCCTCGCTGCAGGTTCAAGTCCACCCTTCAACCCTCAGACACGTGGACATACAGTCTGCTTCAGGTCGTAGACCACCTTTTGGTCCACATGCCACTATTCGTAAATCCAGCAGCCGCTCCGTTCATTGTCATTGTTTGTTTTGTTCTGGCTGTTGAGGGAATGAAACCTAGAAAGCGTCTGAACTTGTCTGACTTTGAATGCTAATTTCCAACTCTGGCTCTCTAGCTAACTTAGCTAGCTGAGAGCTAGCTGTAGCACAGACTGGAGGCTGTGTGCTAGTATGCTAGCATAACAGCTGCTGACATGTCACTCATTCAACTGTCTAGATTAGATGTGTGTTAAGATAAAGGAATGTAATGATCTGTATTTGTTTGGAGCAGAACCACGACACCAGCAGGATCTTAAGCGGCCAGCAGCACAGAGTCAGGTTTTCGGACAGTGTTCAGTCTGGAGCCTTTATTTTTCCTCTGTCAGGTAAACCTGCTGCATTATCTGCATGACCCGTAACTCTCCAACACACGAGCCTTCCATTTCCAAACCCACCGTACCACATCGGCTCCGTTGGACTCTGCACTGATGATTTCCTACAATCTGTAATGGATGTGATGCCCCCAGTTTGTGTTGAATGAGGTTTACTGTTTATATAATTTCACTTAGGTACTGCATTTCTATTGGTTGACTCCCAAGACGTCCTCGGACATTTGGAGGAGTCTGGACTCGTTGAGAGGATACAGAGCTTCGTGCAAGTACACAGGAACAGTTTCCTACTCCTCTACGCCCCCTTTAACGGGGAAAAGGAGATGGAAATATTATCGATGGTTCAACAGAGGTACTTGGTGATTCATGGCGGGGCGTTGCCCTCTTGTTTGGCTTGACTAACACTAACGTGGCGATGGTGACATTATTATACTAAGACTCCTGTTACTTCGTTTCTCACTCTTTCAGATTCTTTGGCAGCAATCTCAGGATCCTGCCTGTACGAAACAACGCAGAGCTTGTCAAAGGAATGTTGACAATCGCCAAGGTAAAAGGTGCCCAGAGGTCCTCGGGGTGACTCTTGATAATAAGTTCGACCCGCTGTTGTTCCCTCGTGATTCTTCGGAGTTAGCCGAGGCTCCTTCTGCCCGCAGGCCACCAGTAAGCCCCACGTAGACCTGATCCGCACTCGGATGTCCCACGCCCGGGCTCACGTCGTGGAGAGCAGCCCCGTGTGGGAGATGCTCAGGGACATTCTCTGAAGCCCAGCACCCCTTCCAGCAGCTGTTCTCACACACACACACACGTAACATTCGTTCTGTTTTATTCGCTGCTAACCAGTACAAGCGTTTCTTGGCAAATATTCATAAGCAAATTTAAAAGATGTGTTCCAATGTGTTTGTACGGTTTGTTCTATTTTTCTTTCACATTTTGACATAGAAAAAGAAGAAATAAAACAATAAGACAATAACCCGGCGGTCTGAAGTGACTCTTGGGGTCCTGGATTCAGTTTGGGATCGTCCGCTTTTCCTCTGTTATCTCTTCGATACGGAATATAAGACTCTCCATCAGGTCCAACGTCACCAAGGCGCTCTGCAGCACCTGTGAGGCATGAGAACGGTCAGCCTGCTGGTCCTGAGAGGGGCCCAAGGGAAAAGGAAGGAAAGTGTCCTCACCTGGTGCTGGACCTCTGGGGACATATTGGACACCTGCTCATGTTTCACTATCATCCTCTTTGATAAACCGGTGGATCGGGCCGCCTCTCTGGCTTCTGGAGAGGAAAAAGCTCACCGTTTATTATCCAGCCGTCATTTCAATGTCGCTTTGGCGCACGCCGATTAGCAGCTGTTGCTGACCTTTTGCTTTCAGCTTTCGATCCTGCCTCACCGCCTTCAGTTCAGCGGAATAATACCCCCTCGATATGCCGATACACACACGCAGGGTTTTCACGTATTGGTCTTTGACCCCGCTCAGCTGTTCCCACGCACCTGTCTGAGAGCGGGCGGAGGAGAGCATCAGCTCGCCGCGTCAACCCGCCTGAGGAGCTGTGGAGGTTTCGGATCAGTGAGACTTACAGTGCTCCTCAGTTCTTTGTCTCTGAGGAGGAGGTAGCGCAGAAGATTCAGACTCTCCATCACCCTGAACAAACGGACAGAGCAGTGCTCAGGGGAAGGAAGCCACGGTGCGAGTAGACTGCTGCTCGCGTTGCTTACCTGTCCATAGTGTTCAGCAAGTCGGTCTGAGCACCTCGTGGCAAACTGAACACAAGTCCCAGCAGAGAGAGCAACTGGTCCCCCAGGAAGCCTTTACCCGCTGCACCTGACTGGAGGACAGTTGACGCGACTAAACGACGGAATAAAATCACCAAACGCCTCCAGGCGACGGGGAAATATCGACTATATGAACTATCACCATAGTGATTTTTTGTGAGCCTCCTTGTTTTGTCTCACCTTCATGGAACATTCCACTTGATTCTTGATGTTCTTCACTATGTAGCCTTCTACTCCTGCATGGTGGCTGGTTTTTAACATGCACCTGCGACAGAAAGTAAGACTGCTTCGGACAAATCAATTTTACATTAGACAAAAACAGGAGAACACGGCAAAGGAAATTATAAACATAAATAAAAACAATGTTGAATCCCTGTCAAAGAGTCATTTTCCTCATCTGTACTTCACTAGCACATTAACTGGGACATATCGATGGAAATGTATGGCTTCAATGAAATGTTAATATCAGTATAAATTTCATAGACATAGATTCTGAACACATTTGACAGTGGAATAAAATCGTATGCCAAATGTACTGCGTTCCAATGATCTAGTGCACAGCGGTCATGCACCCTCATAAAAGCGTCCGGCGACTGTTTGTGTCGTCCACACACAGGAATGTTTGGGCCGGCGTCCTGTTTCCGCGGTGATCCTCTCACCTGAAGAACTTGTGCTTCGCTTCAGCATCTAACTTATCGATGAAGAGCTGGAAAACCTGCAGACCCGACTCCCTCTGGCGAGGCGTTGATCCCGCAGAAAAGAAAAGGCATCAAATTGACCACTGACGTCCGACGCGTTCCTCTCATCCAACACAAGTGCGTACTCACCAAATGCTGCATGGGGCAGTCAGTGAGAACTTGCCTCAGATTCTGTGAATTACAGCACACAGGTTCATTGGAACCCGTTACGCCTGCAGGTCAGCAGCCTCGCTCTGCTTACTGATATTTTGGACACAATTGCAGTTGTGATTCATTCAACCATCTTTTGAAAAACGGATCTGAAATACAGTGAGTGACACGACATGCAGAAGAAACGCTCACTTTAGTCCTGTCTAATGAGGCGACCGTGTCTCTGAGGCGCGTCTCACCTCTGGTACTCTGTGGAAGCTCCTCAGCTCCAGGAGACTCACTGGGAGGCTGTTGTCCTTCACCCTCTCCAAGCTCTTTGCGTACAGCGCCTGCGCGGGAAACGCACGCTTAGCGAAAGGGAGGTGACCCCGTGTTTGTCTTTCTGCGCGTTGACGTGGTCTTACCAGTCCTTTGAGCAGGTGCGACTCCTTCTTGCTGTCACGGAAACGAGATTACAGATCACACGGTGATATCGATGCATTTAAAAATCACTCAGTTGATGTCGTACTTGACAGCGTACCTGCTGAGGAGTTGATTGATGTAGTCCATGTTGCACTGCAGGATAAATAGAGGACTGGAACACCAGGGGACAGGGGACAGTAAAGATGAGCGCTGTCTCCTCTGAATGTCGCTCAACGTGCATCATCAGCCAGTCGGGTCGCACTCACCTGAATACTGCCGGGAAGCTGTCGATGCCCACGAGCTGGACGAACAGCAGATAAGCCAGACAGGCTCTCGACTCGCTGCGCTCACGGCTCTCCTTCTCGGTGCCTTTCTTCAGAGGGCTGAAGAGCAGGAGCTCTGCCGGAGGCTCTCGGATCGCAGGCAGCGTCACCTGCAGGGGGACGCGGTCAAAGGGACTAAATTAACTAAATACGATTGCATATTTTGAACTTTGTCTTACCATTATCTGGGTCGCAAAGAGCCAAAGTGGCGATGTTGTGTCCCGGTTCAGTTCGGCCTCGAGTAAGGGCTCCCTCAAGCTCCTCATGCAGCTGCAGATGAATCACAACCGATGAATCAATAATCTACTACCATCCCACCACTGAGCTTGTAAACCAGCCCATAACATTGGCACCGAAACGTACAACATGAGAAGCTCGGCCTTCAGCTCCTCATCCTCAGCAGTGGGAGCGTGGTTTCCATTTCTCCCCTTCACCTCCTCTACGAACGGCCGGGTGAGCTCAGCCAGGGCGGCGCAGCAGCGGCACAGGCCGTGCTCATCGGCCTCCTCCTGCTGCCGGCTGTAAGGCACCGGCAGCCGGGACAGCTGCTCCTGCAGGCGGCTCAGAGCTGAGCCCAGGCAGGAGGCCTTTCTGTCCCCCAGCTGCAGCAGCACTGCCAGAGACACAAGGGGGGGGGGTTTGCACTGATGCACAGCAGGGGGAGACAGACCCCCGCCGTGGTATAAAGAGAAAGGAACGATTGCTGCAGTAGTAGAAGACATGAGGTGGTGGTCGGATGCCAGTTTGTTCACCGTAGAGCCAAAGTCAATGCAGTTCGACAGCACAGTGCCGCCACCTTTGTGAAAGTTGAACTGTTACGTTTTTGTTGAACGGTATCTTGGACTTTTATGTCTTGTGGAATCGTATTGCATTTGACTGTTTCTGTTATTTTGTCCAGCCCATTTCTATCAAGGCGGGTAGAAACTCTTCTAAGGGATAAGCTGGCTGCAGGCTTCACATGTCATCTCAATAAATAGATACATTCTGTTTAGGGACCATTAGCCCACAAGAATTGTGTGATACTATTTTTTCAACTTCAACACATCATGGAGATTATAAGCCAATCCAATATTTCATGATAAAAAGCACTGTGGTTATTGGTAGAAATGCTTATCAACCTGTTTTATGTTGGCATAGTGCCGTAGGAGTATGCCTTGCGTATAGTTGCAGTGTTGTGTTGTGTTACCTGTTTGAAGATGCGGAACGAGGGCCAAGATGGTCTCAGAAATGGCCCCTGGATCAATGTCTTCAATTAGTTGCAGAAAGCTACGCAGGAGTTCATTCGGCCTGCACGTCTGCACAACAGAACGGGCTTTAGCTCCAACGTGCAGGGGGGCATGTGTCGCCTGTGTGGATCGTCTGTTTGAACGTACCCTGCTCAGATGTGTGATGGCAGCCTGGCAGTGAGCGAGACTCTTTTCCTTTCTGACCACTTCGTTGAGAAGTGGCGACACGAGAACGCAGCCCATGGACCTCACGATCCCCTAATAGAGGGATGAATGGTGATTATTACATAAATGTCCCGGTAATTACATAAAACACACACCGTGAAATGATGACGTACTGTAACTACGGAAATAACAACGTCCTTGACGGAAGAAAAATAAATAATTGAAACCAAAGCAAACGCAACCCAGTGAAGAGCGGAGCGACAAACCAAGGGGCACTTAGAGGAGCGCCGTGTGGAGAGAGAGTTACCAGTGGAGCGAGAAATCGGACTGATTATCTGCCCGTTTTTTCTCCCGGCACCTCGGGGTCAAGAGGTCGGCAGCAGCCGGGTGGCTGCGTAGGTGCTTTTAGTGGCGTGTGACAGTTTAACGCTGAACGCCATCATCATGGCGGCGTGTGCGAGGTGTGAGCAGGACCAGTCGGGGGGCCGAAGGGAGAGCAGAGCCGTACCTGGTTCTCCTCCTCCTGCAGGAAGCTCAGCAGTCGTGCGGCGTCCCCCTGGGTGAGACAGGCAGATCCCACGTCCCTGAACTGCTGGTAGTCCTCCGGCTTCAAATCGTCCTCCGGGGTCCTTTGCTGAGGCAGAAATATTTAAATTAGATTGCTTTCTTGTAAATTCAAGGAACATTATCCAAACTGCCCCTAATTTCATATGAGCGATGCTCGGTCAGGCCTGAGCCTACTTCATATTGTAAGACACAGCGCCACCTGCTGGCTAGAGGATTTACACTTTGACGTACTCCTCAGCCCATATACAATCAAATAGGTTGTTTTCTGTTTCATTATTCGTCATGTTAGTTGAATGACGAAGACGGCATGAGGCCGCGCACTGCAGACTGTCAGCCACCAATGGAGCCGAGTGGGTGTGTTATTGGATTTATTTCTCAAAAGTGCACACAAAAGTTCCACTCGCTTGATGGGTCACGCCCCACTGGCATCACGACAAATTGAATGATGAGCATGATTGCCTAAGATAAGTTGCATTGAAATAATAAAGAATATATCGGTGACTTACCCATCTGTGGATTATATCCTTCACCTGATCTTCATTAGCCATCAGCGTCTCCTCGGGGCAATCCTATTACCAATATGTCTTTATTGAAGGCTCCACAATGGCTGCCGTGGTAACTAAGAACCAGTTTCAGCACCAGAACCGAAATGACCAAATGTGGAGGTCTCGTGGTGACGCGAGGGAGAGAGACAGAGAGAGACAGAGAGAGAGAGAGATTGTCTGCAGGGAACCAGAACCTAAACCTCTTATGTCCCTCTGTGCCCGACATGTAATAGGATTAAACCAGAGTGCGAGAAAACGTGCAACTGTCTGGAAGGATCTGGATGAATAACACGTTGGGTTCAGTAAAACGAAGGTAAAACTGTGGATGGACCTCGCATACGTTTTCAAACCCATTCAACTGAATTAGTTAGTGCTCATCCAGCATGAAGACAAGCAAAGAACAGCAATTCATATGTTTTTATCTAACATGTGGGAAAATGAAAGTGTTGTTTTAACATTTTAGTTTATGGTATATGGGCTTAAAGGTTATTTTTTTAAATAGGGCAGAGCAATAACTCCACTTAATAATCTATTGAGTGTCATCGTTAAGCCACTGTAATGAATTGAATATCGAGATTACTTGCCGGACTGTTACGTTGGCTGAAAATAACAAGCACACGCTAGCTGAAAATTCTTGGCGAACCTGGACAGATAATTATTTTGCTGATGGGTATAGGCCAATGTATTTAAATCAATCTGTTTTTTGCATGTGTGCATTGCATGTAAACATTGTCTAGCTGGAAATATTAATCTATTTCCATGCGATTTCACGTGCTTATTTTGCGCTGAAGTTGTTCATTAAAGTGGCGAAGCAGATTGCATCAAGGGGGGTCGATGGCGATCTCTCTCTTTCTTGAACCAGTGTGTTCTGGTGTAGTCTGGTTTGTCCTTTCTGGGCTTCTGTAGCTTCTGTTCCACCAGGAGGACCCGCTCCGTATGCAGGGTTACACCGAGATTAGACACAATAGCTCACATATACTCATTGATAGTGTCTTCCATCTGTGCCAATAGACCCTCCTTAATGGTGCACACTGTTACTTTATCTGAGACAATGTTTTCATTTTTTAGCATGTGCTATATATACATATATACAACATTCTGTATATAATCGTAAGGCATCTTAGTGTACATGATATTGGAATAAGATTTAAGAAAAGGTCGAGGTAGACTAAATGAATTTGATTTTATTAACAGAAGAGTCTCTTGTTTAGTATTATAACATGAGCAGCACTGGTCTGAGCCCCATTGTAATTTGAAAGTATATTAACTAATAAATTGACCTGTGACTCGTGCGGACTATTGGGAAACCAAATTCATTTCCTAATTAAATGGGAGAGCCTGTTGTGCACAGAAGCACTCGGATTAGGAATCCCTTTCCACAATTGCCTTATGACAACATGCTTCCCTTTGTATGCACAAAGGCTTCAAAGGCTCGGATCATCTTTTCCCCCCCAGCGTTTGCGTGCATGTGTAATATGATAGAAGTACAATCACTGGCTTCCTGCTCCAGCCAGACAGCTTCAGTAAAGGAGCAGCTCAAGTCCTGATTTGAGATGAATAGGGCGAGAAGCGTGTTTGAACGGTCGGATTTAGCAGACATCTGCCGCTCAGGTTTGCTCTCTGTATTGCTGTGTGATGAAAGCCTTCAGACAAAAGACACACTCTGCAAACAGAGCGCACACTGCCGCTCACTCCGTGTTTGTGCCTGATTTTTTCATCTTTAATTGTTGGCTGATGAGGTTTAGTTTTGACAGAGGATGCTGGGGTGCATAAGACACAAAAAGTAAATAACATCAGAAGGTGTTTATTATTTATTTCTTCCTTATGCCTCCAATGGATGAAAATATCAATCATTTTATTTGAAAATTGAGTTTAAAAATAAATATGTCGTTGTGCAGTATCCTTTATATAAGATGAAAAGTTTGCGAATATCTTAATGAATAATAATCTAAATAATCCAAAAGAATGTCATCATAACAAATGTATTAGATTATACAATAGCAACATCATGGAATAAGCTGCAATAAGTAGATGTCACAAAATGTTTTCCTTTTTGGACACACAATGCACTTTTTAATTATTTTTCATACCATGACCTTAGTTTGGATGTTTTTAATGTTAATATTTTTTACATACTTTTATATCCTTTTTCATTGCACTACACTATAACACTTTAAAAAGAATTCCGGACATTCTATATAGTGTCTCTTTTTCAACATTCAACAATAATATAATATTACTTATTCTGACATGTTATGCTATAGTTTTTTTTCAAACGTTTTTTAATATACTGTGACTCATTTGAACATGTTGTTCTATGTCTACTTCATACATTATTTTGACATATTATATGATACTTTTTTTATCTAAAATACGATGACTTGGACAATTTTAATTACATCTGAAAACCATGTTGTAACTTTTTAAAGAGAAGTGCTATGTAGAAAGATGAATTCATTAATGCCAGCAGATCACTTCTTTGATATCAGGAACTAAATAATACATAATAACATTTTGATTCAAATCTTTCTCTGGGTCTAATTGTTTTTCTAAACGTAGTACTTGAATTAGTTCAGCATATTTGCTAAGGTAGTTTCTTCCAATGTTTCTCCACATTTTTTGATTGGTCCACATGGTGGATTTCACTTAAAAGAAGCCTCTTTGAATAAAAGCTTCAGCTAAATGAATCTAACGCAATGTTACAAAAGTATTGGATTTTCTCCCCGAATACTAAGTCATCAATAAATAATTGTTGGAGACCTACAGAGCACTTTTGTAAGAACGAACCGATCAGACAGCTTCAAATTATAAATAATAGATAAAGGTTAAATTATTAGTTGAGCTCTGTAGAACTTGCTGCATAGATTCACAGATTTAAGTTCATTATTAAATACGTTTTTAACCAATCCAAATCTCACATCTCATTTCTGATATAGAAATGCTGCAGTGTTATAACGACATTCAACATAACATATCACTTTATGGCTACTATGAAATGACAGCAATATGTCATACGGTACTGAGGCCTTTTTATGAGCTGAAAACTCCAACAAACGTCTCATGTCAAAATATTGGGCTGGCTACAACAAAAAACATTGAAAAGGTTTTTCTCTCCAGTAACATGAAGGCAATTTTAGAAGAAGTCCAATAAGTGACAAAATATAATTAAAAGTGTCAAATGATAGAAGAGGTTTGGAGACTTTTGGGTGCTGAATTCTTATGTGGTGCATTGAATTCTCAAGTAGAACATAAAAAAATCCCACACACAAAGAGAATAGTTTTAGTTGCGTGGCAGCAGCATCGTGGTCGCTAAGACCCCAGATTGTAAGTGTCCCGTGTTTGAATACTGGCTTTCTGAGGACAGCAGTGTGCACCACCTCGTAGGTAAACAAAGGGAGTATGCGGATCTCCTCCTGCTGTTTGGGAGGGAGAGAATTATTGGTAATAGAACAACAACCCTTATTATTGGTATTTTGCATCCCAATCTGACGGCCATCCTGGACGAACTAAGTGAAGAAACTGAAAGATGGAAACGTGTTTCATAATTTCCACTCAAGGATACAACTGATTACTTAAGTTGGTGTTTCTCAAACTGTGGGGCGCAACCCCCTAGTGGGTCGCAGTGGTATTACAGAACTATTTTAGAACTTTATTGAGAACTTCCCATCCCTACAAAAGTACAAAGTACACCGACTGCCGTACCTCCTTTGATGAGCTCAACATCGAGGACACATTGAGAGTGAGTGGGAGAGCGGCTCGAGTCTGCAACCCGGTTTTGAAAAGATTTGTAGTGGAAAGCCGGCTCATTGCAGCCAATAATACTGATAAAAGGTTTCATCAGTATGAGATGGCCCATACATACATATCTGCATGGATTTGTTCTGCACAGTTTGCGCATTCATTTTTGACACAGATAGAATGTTATTTGCATTGTTTTAAAACGGTTGTTGTACATTATATTTGTTTTCGTCTGATGGAGCGATCTGGTTTACTTGAAAGTCTTTGCATTTTTTTTCGTTTTTCCGTTATTTGTCACAAAACTTCAATAAAAATTCAACATGTACAACGTGGGTTCGGACATAAAACGTTTGAGAACCACTGCTAGGAATGAATTATCTGAAAATAATTGAGCAGAAAGCTGCTGATGGACTTTAATAACAACATTTTATTGCACGCTTTACTGCAAGATGTATCATGCTATTCTATATTCTTATTTTTCTCACGTTCTATATGACCTTTCATGACATTGTTATATTTAATAAGACATTCAGGTTGGGATGACATTTTTATTGTATTTTCCATGTATATGTTTATGATACATACACAATAAGGCAAGAAAAATACATTTATATGTAAATTTCATGGCTTCCTATTGCGGCAATATATCATATATATATATATATATATATATATATATATATGTATACAATATACAATATCGATATTTTTATAATATTTCTTGGGAACTATGTGAACTATGATATTTCTAATGACACACTATACTAGAGCCTTGTTTAGAAATTCCATTATTTTGTTTTGTCTAAATTTGTCTATTTCACACTGCCATAGATATCTGAATATACTATGACATTATGTGGCATTTAATGATTTTTTATTGCAAACCAAACAACAATATTTTGCATGCTTTGGTATGAAATATTCCACAAGTACGTATACACATACATTTAAAATTCAACCCCTGCTTTTAAAACTTGTAAGCTTGTAAAGCACCGGGGAGGAAGCATTTCTGGGTTGAGTGTCAGTTTGGAGACGAGCATCAAACTGCCAACCTTCCTGTTAAAGGACCAGTGTGTTTACAGGGACGTAGTGGTGAGGTGGCAGATTGCATACTGCTGATTGTCCCTCTGAGACACCGACCGCTCTCCAAGCGCGTCGGAGAACTGCGTCTGCCTGCAGGCGACGTGAACACACAGGAGGCCGCTGTGGGATTTGTCCGTTCTGGGCTTCTGTAGAAGGCTTTGTAGCAACGTGGCGCACAGCGAAGAGGTCCTACTCCCTGTATCTATACGTAGTATCCTCGCTGTTGGGTAACGAAAACTCAACCATTTTTATTTTTTATGGGATTAAACACTAATGAAAACAAAGGCATGAATACTATATTTACGTATGCTACCGCCAGCATCGTTACACCACAGTGTTTATATACAATACTTTTTATGACACACTGTAATGTGACACTTTTCAGTGACATAGTATTGTTAGTATT